TAATATTCTTGACGAAATGATCATCAATCCAATCCTTATGTTCGTGCCTGAACACTAATACTATTACAAAAGTTGTAGGAAATTATGACTAATTTAATGTGAGTTTAATAAATTGGAAAAAAGGATTTTTGAACATCATAATAGTATAGTGAAACAACATATGTATATGTACTTATACCTATAATTATAAATAGATTTATTTATTCAAATATTTTTCTAATTTTTTTTATTATTATATATTTTTATATATAGAAAAAAATAATAATAATAAAAATATATATATATTATCACTATTATATTTTTTTTTCTTTAATCATAACACATATATTTTTATATTTATATATATCAGCATTTTTTTGGTATTTAAATATTATTAATATTTATATTTAATTGTATCTAAAATTATTTACATATATTGAAAGCCACTTTTATTTATATTTATTAATAGCACAATCGACTTACATATAAATCTGCAATAATTTATACACATTTATAATCACATTTATTAATATTTATGACCTCAATTTATATTAAAAACTTTCACAAATATTGACTTACCTTAATCAGCACTAATAAATACTAAAGCGCTTATCATGAATTTAAAAAATACGCTTAGGCGTAAAAAATAAACATTTGAATATAAATTGAAATATGTATTTTTTTTTTAATAGATTTCATCATGGCAAATTTATGAGAAAAAAAATACAAATTTTTTCACAATCAAATTTAAGCCTGAGCTCAAAAAGTTTGCTGCTTTCCCACAAACAAAAAAACTTCTTCAAAGGCTAATAACGGGATTAAGTAAGATAAAAAAAAACTTTTTAATTTACATATCATATCAAAAATGCAAAATTTATTTATTACACGAGGCCATAAAGCATTTGATTTTATTTCTGGAGCTTTTAATACTCTAATATAATACGTAAATATATTTTATATATTTATAAATATAAATATATTTAGACTAAGTATGTTAAGAATATTTATATATATATACATATATTCAGTAAAATAAACGAATGAAGTTTAAGAGTATTTCTGTGTCTCTCCTCACAGTTCATGGGGTCGTTTACTCAAGCTTTTTTATATCTTCTAAGCAAACATGCCGCACTTGACCCATGTCAGTCAGAAAGCGAACATAAAAATGGGGAAAAAATGGAGAGTAAATGAAGAATAAATGCCAAAAATTGGCTGTCACGCAAAGCAATTTTGTCAATTCTCGCTGGCAGGCAAAAATAAAAATGCCATTAGATGGGATTCTTCTTGGGTTTGCCGCTCGACTGGACTGGCATAAAGAGAGGCAGATGAACAAGAGAATCACATACTGGCTTATAAATTGCGATGCACTCAATGGAAGTTACGAGCGGGATTCCAGCCACACACACTCACGCACACACACACGCAAATTAATAAAGCAATATTGCGGCTTGTCGAGTTTAATTTAAGCTCTCAAATCGCTGCAGGTGTGTGTTGCAAGGTAAGCCAAAGAAATTTGATTTTGAAAATAACTCGACGGGAGATGCCTTTGAAAAAAGTTTTACCCGAATATTGAGGTGCTCTCCACGCGCTGTCATGACAGCAGAAACAGCGCCTATGGCAACGACCACAAACAAACATACACGCACACACACACACACACACACTCACATACACTTGAGCATGCAGAATGGTTTTTGTACTCATTTACGAGTCTGAAAGGAGTTTATTGGTTTTGCGCAATGAACGGCTATCCGACGGGAATCTTGGGGTATATCCTGATCATATCCTAGTCTTTCCACTAGTGGCGTAGCAAATCGGAAAATGAAATGAGATGGAAATGGAAGATATAGTCGTGCTGACAGCCCAACATCAAAGAGATATAGCGAGCATGTCTAAGCCCAATCGGGACATAGGAAATCTTTCAATCTTTCAGTTGATAATAAGTATTGTACAGTCGATAATGCCCGACTGCCACGTTCTTATTTGTGCTTTATTTTTATATAATAAAAGAAAAGCTGCTTACAACATTTGTGCGCGTGTGTGTGCGCATATTTACGAGTGCTTTGCATCCACCTATGAAGTATTTGCACATTCGGCTTGATAGGAAAGCAGCAGGTAGCTGCTACCTGCCTTCAATGAGGTGTTTATCAAAGCACTTCAACCCTTTGAGCATAAAAACGTCATCGCATATTTATGTATAGACAAATACGATGGTTACCCACTGTGCATGCGATAGGCAAGTGTTTATGGAAAAGGCTTTAAGGCGACTTCCTTAAAGCCAAGCTGTAAAACGTCAATTGGGCATGCGAAATGCCATTCGTTTATTCTTTTTTGTAGTTTGTGTTTTACAATTTGATAACAACATTGAGACGAGATATTTCGCTTAATTGGCATTATATATAATTTTTTGTTCGCTCTTTGTGCTGCGGTTTGCATTTGCATGCGAAATACATGGCTATAATATTATATCGTTTGCCAGCTAAAAAAAAAAAAAAAAAAAAAAAAAAAGTCCCAAACGAAAACCAATTAAATGCATTCCAATTCAACTGCGACAAAAAAAAAATACTAAAAAAATAGTTTGTAATAAAAATCGCAAACATTTCATTGTAATTTAGTGAACTTTCATGTAATGTTTACTTTTTAGCTGTCGCATGTTGCGGTCAACCACGAAATGCAGAAGCAGAGCAGTTGAAAAAAAAAAAGAAAAAACTTTAAAATAAAATATCTTTAAAGCTGCGTCCATCAATTGCATTGTGTTTGCTCTGGTTCAGCGGTCATTAAATAGATAACCTCGACAACAACTGACAAACTTTTGTTTTGTCGAATCGAATCGAATCGAATCGAATAAAATGCTGAAATCGAGAATTTAGTTGAATTGTTGTGGCGAAAAAACCCTTAGCCCACTTGGGTTATAGATTATGCAAATGCTTGTTTTTTAGAGGCTATTTAAATAAATATTAAAATTCAAATAATGTTTTTTACTTGCTGTAAATTATGAATATTAATGCTCTTCAAAAGATAACGGCAATATGAAAAGCTGTATTTGCACATAGTTTAAATGAGATGATTAACTGAAAAAAGGGATTATTTAGCTAGTCTCTAAGGACGGACGTGTCTGACTGGGCGATGCCCTGCATAAAACTGTATGTAAATAAAAAAGAATCACTGCAGAGATGCTATATATCGAAGGATATACTATGCAATGTAATTTTTATAGATTTTTAGAATATAAAATATAATTTATTAACTAAATTTAAAAAAAATAAATATATATATATATACATATATAAATATTTTTGTATTCGAACTTTCATCTTCATCTTCATCTTTTCATCATTTCATTCATCTTTACATTGTGTATGTTTTATAATCGTAAGTTTATAAAGCCTAAGCAATTGTTGCTCAAGTGTAGTAAGCAATTTAATATTTAGATATTTATCTCTTCGATTTTACAGATTTATCACTGTGCATATAAATATATATACTTATAATTGTAAGCTAAGAATGTCCATGTGATTTTTGCTTAGGCATAGTAAACTCTATTTATACATTACATAAAAAAAATAAAAAAAAAACAATATATATATATTTATACATAATATTTATATATTTTCCTAACTCTACTCTTTAATTTATTTAATTTTTAATATTGTTTATTTTATTATAAAAAATGTATAAATTTCCATAAATTTCTTAAAATCTGATTAATTTTTATATATTTATTTTATTTTATTTATTTTTTTATTTTAGCTTAATTCAAGTCATCATAAAATCATAATACGTTATATAAATTAATAATAAATAATTTCTACTTTTTGTTCTACTCATTTAAAGTGCAAAATTCCATTCAGTAATAATGAGAACTATAGTTCATCACAGTCCACACCCCTTCCACTAGTTTCCCTTCATTTTTGCCTGCACTCTCTATAACAAAAAAAAAAATGCAAAACTTGTTAAACAACGTGCGCCATTTCCCCCACATCCGTTCGCACCTGCCCGTTCAGGATCAAGGTCGAGCGCTGCAAATGAAATTGTATATCAAGTTTTTGCACTTCTCGCTTCCTTTGTGTTTGTCTTCTTTTTGG